GAATGGTTTGATCCCTATCCAGCTGAATTCCTGAGAGGAGACGAAATCCAGGTCTCCTACTCCTCCGCCATCTTGCTCCAACAGTCCTGAGGCATTATTCTTATGGGGATGGAGCAGACAGCCTTGAATGTCATCAGAACCCAAGACGCGGTGAGAAACTGTTTCACAATAGCCTTTCAGGGGAGAAAAGGGAAGCAAGTAAGACGTGGCTTTGGAGTGACTCCTCACAAGCCTTTATGCTCCCATGCCCTGGGAGGATCACAAGGTATCCTGCCAAGACTCAAATTAGATATGTTTCAGGCATTTCCTGCATGGCCCATGTGGACACATAAAGGTTACCAGGGTACCCTGGAGTAGCCATTTCTCTACAACTTCCAAATGATCCAGCATTTCAATCAAAAAGATCATCCTTTGCCTCATTGTACTGAAGTGGCAATAAATGCTTATTTATTCATTAATTGATTAAAGTGACAGTTGGAAAAACTTAGGATTAGAAAGTCATCTAAACATTTAAGAACCATATTAGATGCTTGATTTTTTAAAATGAGGCATAATGATTTTAGGGCAAGAAGCATAATTTTTGGAATCACGTATATCTGGGTTTGAAGCCCGTTTTGATCATTGACTGGCCATGTGATAATCAGTGGGATCTCAGAACCTTTAATTTCTTATCTATAAAAAGGAAATAATACCTATTTCTCACTATTATTAAGTGAGATAATATATATGAGTGGTATCTAGCAAGATGCATTTTATAGAATACATATTCAGAAAAAGCAAAGGTGATAGTTGGGACGCATTTTATCTAGGATTGATGATTCTTTAGGGTCATCAGTTTTCTTAAGTGCATGGACAGACCTTTTATTAGCAAAAGAGAACTTCAAGTACCTGTCAAGGAATATAACCTGAAACTCTGTTGCCTACCACTTATCAAATACCTGTTGGATAAAATAATGTTTATGGGGTATTGCCTGGGGAGTATGCAAGCCATCTATTCTTCTATGTCTTAGGTCAGGTTGCCTGGAAAACAGGCTCAGATGGAAATTTGTGTGCAGGAAGTTTACTGAGGATTATTCTCAGGATCAAGATGGTGAGGGAGTAGGAAACAAGAATAAGAAGAGAAGCCTACCTGTGAGTAAATTTTTTTTCTTGAATTAATAAGATTATCAGAGAGTTGCAAAACAGGAGACTGATTTTGGCCCCACTCATTCATTAGTTTATACAACAAATATTTATTGAGTACTTACTATGTGCTTTATGTTAGATTCTGGCAATGGTGAACAAGATAGACTCGGTCCCTGACATGATGGAGTTTATAATCTCATAATGGGAGAAAGAAATTTAAACAATTAATTGCAATATGGAGGTTAATTCCTATGATTTTTTTTAACTAGATAGGCTAATTCTAAGATTACTAGCTAAAATATAATATTTAAGTCTAGTTAAAGTATGAGAAAATAAGAGCAATGGGTGATAGTAAGGGGAAACTAGCCCCAACAGATATTTAAAACATATTATATAATGATGTACTATATGTTGGCTTACTTAACATAATAAAAAAAAAAAAGAAAGGCAATACCAAGTAGTAGTGAGAATATACAGTTATTGGAACTTATATAATGTTGTTGGTTGGAATGCGAATTTGTATGACCACTTTGGAAGACAGTTTGACTATCTATTAAAGCTAAAAATATGTATATCCTATGACCCAGCAATTCTATTGTTATTTATACATTCACATGTCCAAGATGCATGTACAAGAATATTCATAGACAAAAACTGCAAACAACCCAATGAATTAACAGAAAAATGGATAAATTATGGTGAATGCATAGAATACAATACCACATTGCAACAAAAATGAATAAACTACAGTTATATGTAGCAACATAGATGAATCTCATAAAAAATAAAAAAACAAAACATATTATAAAACTACATTAATTAACACTATTAGTACTTGTGAAGGGATTGATCAATGGAACAAAAGCAAGTATCCAGAAATCAATCCAAAAAAGTAGGAGAAAGATGGTTTATTTGATGAATGAATTGCTTTAAGGTAACTGGTTGTTATTTGAAAAAAATAATCTCTGAAATGAATTTCACTCTTTATACCAAAATAAATTCTGAATGGAACTAATATTTAAAAATACAAATTAAATCATAAAAGTTTGAGACAAAAATGTGGACAAATTTTTTTAATGAGTTGGGATGGAGAAGGACTTTTAAAGCAATATCCCAAATTTAGAACGCATAATGTCAAAAATTATTGATCTGACTACATATTAATTAGAAATAGCTGTACTACAAAAGATAACATAAACATTAAGTCAAAGAAAAATTGATAAATTGAAGAAAATAGATTTTAAAAAACTAACAATGGCTAATTTTTTCTTAGTATATAAAATCGCTTAAAAATTAACAAATACCAGGTGCCTGGGTGGCTCAGTTGGTTAAGAGTCTGCCTTTAGCTCAAGTCATGATCCAGGGGTCCTGGGATCGAGCCCCACAATGAGTTCCCTGCTCAGTGGGGAGCCTGCTTCTCCCTCTCCCCTGCCTCTCCCCTGACTTGTGCACTCATGCTTTCTCTCTCTCAAATAAATAAATAAAATCTTAAAAAAAATTAACAAATACCACAAACCAATAGGCCATGTTCATGCACATGAAGAAAAGAAATACAAATGAGTTTTAAAGATATAAAGAAATGAATGAAATATGGTGAACAAACATTAAATAAATCAATAATAATACCTAATTTGAGGGTAAAAATATCAATAACTAAGGATGAGATGGGAGGGTCTAATACCCACCTAATTGAAGTCCCTGAGGGCAAGAATAGAGAGAATGGGAGAGACATTCTTCAAAGAGATCCTATCTAATGATTTTCCAGAAATATGAAGACCTGTGTTTTCAGATTCAGGATACACAATGAATCCCAATTACTCAAGAAGTAATTCACAATTGGATATGTCTTGGATTAATTGTTGAGCACTAAAAACAAAAAAGTTTACACAAGCAAGCAGAGAGAAAAGACAACTTACTTACAAAGGATATGACAAATACTCTTAGAGCAGACTTCTCATCTTTGACATGGAAACTAGAAGACAGTGGAGTATCTTCAGAGTGCTGGGACAAAATAACCATCAACTTAGCTAAGCTACCATTAAGTAAATATACTTCCTGACAAATAAAAACAGAATTTTTTTTACCTTCAACAGATGCTAAAGCACTTCTAAAAGGATTACTTCAGGGGGTGTCTGGCTGGTTCAGTAGGAAGAGCATGCAACTTTTGATCTTGGGTCATGAGTTTGAGCCCCGTGTTGGGTGTAGAGATTACATAAATAGATAGATAGATGATAGATAGATGATAGATAGATAGATAGATAGATAGGATAGATAGATTAGATAGATAGGTAGATAGATAGATAGATAAAAACTTAAAAAAAATAAAAGGATTACTTCAAGAACAAGGAAAATGGTCTCCAAAGGAAGGTCTGAAATACAATAAAGAATTGTGAGCAAAGAAAAGAAATTGAATAAAAATACTAGATAGGAGTAACATATAAGATGTGAGGAGGGTAATCTTAATTCAAGTGTTTCAGGTTAAATAAAGCGTAGTCTTCAAGAGCACAGATACGGAACCAGACTGCCTAGGTCTGAATCCCAGCATCATGGCTTATTATCTGTGTAACTGTGGGCAAATCACTTAATCTCTTAGGCCTTAAATGACTTGCAAGTAAAGTGCTTACAACAGTACTTAATAAATAGCAGGCACTGAATAAACATTAGGTTTATGATTATAAAGGTCCTGAGATTGTTTAGAGAAAAACTGACATACTGATTATCTTTAGACAATAACCAAATACGTGAGTTGAAATTTTAAGTGTGACTACTAAAAGTGTAGAAATAGTGGTTTTACTTTTCTCATCACAGTGAGAGGGGAAAAAAACCTTAGTCCAAAATGAGACAGTAAAAGCAATGAAAAAATAAGGTTAGAAAAATAGAACATTTAACATTCTATTGATAATGCATAAGACAGTTGGTTTTCTCCCATTTGCCAGTGACTCCTCATAATTAGGATATTGTTAAGGCTAGACATAAAGAGGGCTTCTTGATGGCTTTATCCCTTGGTCATATTTGTCCTAGAAGCTGCCACTATTGATGTAAAATTGCAAATAGAGGCTTTAGCCAAACATTCGGAGGCCACCTTTAACTAAGCCCAACATGCAGTTACCCATAAATTCAAAAAGTGGCCCTTCAAAACCGAATAGCCTTTGATGTCCTGACTGCAGCTCAAGGAGGAACCTATATTTTATTAAAACAGAGTGTTATGTATATATTCCAGATTACCACAAAAAGGTGACAGGATTACTAAAAGACATGAATACTCAAATTGGTGCTTTAAAGGATCCCTCTGTTTCCTTCAGTGATTGGTTAAATTCCTGCACTGGAGGAAGATTTTGGTCAACAAGTAAAGGTCTTTTATTTGGGCTTCTCTTTCTCATAATAATAATAACAACCTTATTTTGTTGTGTTTTCCAATGTCTTTTCCAAAGCCTGGTGCTGAGACTCCTTCACTGCCATAACTTCAAGCCAACAGATGATCCTTTCTACCCAAGGAGATTCACAAATGTTGTCTACCTTGGATTTGGCTGCCTCTGCCGTTTGTAACTCCTATATATAAGTTCCCCAATGGATCGATGTTGACCCGTAGGTAGGGACATCTCTATGCCCCTATTCAGCAGGAAGACATTACAGAAGATAAGACCTTCCACCCTCAGCAATCTTAAAGATTTAAGGGTCAAAATTGTTCATGGGGTAATGATGTGGAGAACAAAGGCAAAAGGAAATGTAGATAAAATTAGATTTGGGCGCCTGGGTGGCTAAGTCGGGTAAGCGGCTGCCTTCGGCTCAGGTCATGATCCCAGGGTCCTGGGATGGAGTTCCACATCGGGCTCCCTGCTCAGCGGAGAGCCTGCTTCTCCCTCTCCCTCTGCCTGCCTCTCTGCCTACTTGTACTCTCTATCTCTATGTCAAATAAATAAATAAAATCTTTTTTTTTTTTTTAAAGATTTATTTATTCATGAGAGACAGAGACAGAGAGAGAGAGAGGGGCAGAGGGAGAAGCAGGCCCCTGCGGATCAGGGAGCCCGATGCGGGACTCGATCCAGGGACTCCAGGATCATGACCTGAGCCGAAGGCAGTCGCTTAACCAACTGAGCCACCCAGGCGCCCAATAAATAAAATCTTAAAAAAAAAAAAATTTAAATTTTCTTACCACTTGCAGCCCATTGACAAATACTTGAGAGAGGCAGAGTATGACATTCCTCCAGGAACTCCCAACGGCCTTAATGTTAATGCTTTGCTCGAGGAAAAAAACCCCTTAGTTTGACAATAGCCAGGCCTCCAGGATCCTGTAAATTTTCTTTAACATATGAAAATCCTTTTGGAAACTTCCTTTATCTCTGCCCCTCCCAACTTAAAAGTATATAATCACTCGTTCCTCACAATCCCAGTGCAGCTCTTTTTGCCCATGGGTCCTCTCCCTGTGCTTTAATAAAACCACCTTTTTTTTGTACCAAAAATGTCTCAAGAATTCTTTCTTGACTGTTTGCTCCCAAACCCCACATCAAATCACATCCGTATTACATGCCTCTTGTATTATTATTTTAAAACTGTTACAGATTTCTTTTTATAAGATTTTATTTATTTATTACTTATTTGAGGGAAAGAGAGAGAACGAGTTGAGGGCGGGTGGGCAGAGGGATAAGCAGACTGCCCGCAGCGCGAAGAGCCTCTCATTGCGGGGCTCAATCCCAGGACCCTGAAACCAGGGCCTTAGCTGAAGTCAGATCCCTAACTGACTGAGCCACCAGGTGCCCCTGTTATAGATTTCTTTTTATTTCTATTACACTTACCGGAGCTTTTTATCCTGCTCTAATTTTGTTGATTGTTTTCTTTATAAGAAAATTTACTGCTAGAAGAAACTTAATTTAGCATTATTCTTGTTTCTAACAAGGTCGTATTTTAGAAGTCCAATGCACTATTCATTGTGCAACAGAGCCTCTAACAGGATCATTTTAAGGAGTAAAAAGACTGTTGTAATGGGCTTCCCAATATTGTGTTACTATTATGATTTGGTCTCATTCTATTTATGTTCTTATAATTTACTCAGCAATGTAAATGAATGCAACTTTTTGTGAATACATAAACATTTACGTGTTTGTAATAAATTTCTTAAAACTGAAAAAAAAAACATTTAGAAAGTACATTTATGTAAGAAAAAAGATATTAGAAAATATACATGAGGGGCGCCTGGGTGGCTCAGTCGTTAGGCGTCTGCCTTTGGCTCAGGTCATGATCCCAGGGTCCTGGGATCAAGCCCTGCATCGGGCTCCCTGCTCTGCGGGAAGCCTGCTTCTCCCTCTCCCACTCCCCCTGCTTGTGTTCCCTCTCTTGCTGTGTCTCTCTCTGTCAAATAAATAAATAAAAATCTTAAAAAAAAAAAGAAAAAAGAAAATATACATGAATCTGCTAGTTTGTGTAAAAGAATACAGGAAGAATAAATCAGAAATTAAAGAGATTGGGGGTGGTGCCTGGGTCGCTCAGTGTGTTGAGCATCTGACTCTTGTTTTCTGCTCAGGTCTTGATCTCAAGGTCGTGGCATTGAGCCCCATGTTGGGCTCTGTGCTCAGTGTGGAGTCTGCTTCAGATTCTCTCTCCCTCTCCCTCCTGCTCACTCTCCCTCTCTCTTTCTTTCAAATAAATAAATAAATAAAATCTTTAAAATTAAAAAAAAGAGATTTGTGGGCAAGAGGTGCAGAAAGTTTGGCGGGGATGAGAACAGAGTAGTGGGCATGTGGAAGAAACAACACTTCTCTGAGTATACCTTTTTTTATAGCTCTATTGGAACCATAATAATGTTTCACATACTCAAAAATAAATAAGTGGGAATCCAAAACAAAGTACAAACAGTTACAGATAAATAATATAATGAATAATATTACTAATCAATAATATTACTACATTGGAAAGGTGGGGAAGAGAAGAGCTAATGTAAGTAACTTTGAAATATAATATTTTGACTAGATTCTGTAAAAACTGTACACAATACTGTAATTTAGTTAGTAGATTTGTCTTTCACAGGGGTATGGATAAGCAATTTTGAAACTACATTATGTACATACTAAGAACAAATAAGTAGAATGTAAATAATAAGAGCAGGATGATTTCTCACTGTTGGAGTAAAAGTATAAAGAAAAGGGGGAAGGGAAAAATGAAATTCATGGTGTTGGATTGGAATCAGAGGTATCAGTATGAACTTGTTCATACATAATATGGTAATTTAACACATCTATTTGTGTAATTGGTAGATAAAGCAGAGAAAAATAATTTAGTGCATAAGAGCTTTTAACAATTGATAAAATTAGGTCTAATGATCATTTGATAAAACCATACATTCAATGATTAAAGAATGCACATATTTTTAAGTTTTTATTTAAATTCCAGTTAACATAAAGTGTAATATTAGTTTCAGGTGTAAAATATAGTGATTCAACACTTACATACATCACCTGCTGCTCATCACATAAAGTGCGCTCCTTAATCCCCATCACCTATCTCACCCATCCTCCCACCCCCCTCCCTTCTGGTAACCATTAGTTTGTTCTCTATAGTTAAGAGTCTGTTTCTTGGTTTGTCTCTCTCTCTCTCTCTTTCCTTTGCTTGTTTGTTTTGTTTCTTAAATTCTACATATGAGGGAAATAATATGGTATTTGTCTTTCTCTGACTTATTTCACTTAGCATTATACTCTCTAGCTCCATCCATGTCATCGCAAATGGCAAGATTTCATTCTTTTTTTGGCTAATATTCCATTGTGTGTATATACCACATCTTTATCCATTCATAAATGGACACTTGGACTCTTTCCATAATTTGGCTGTTGTAGATAATGCTGCTATAAACATTGGGGGGCATGTGTCCCTTTGAATTAGTAAATACCTAGTGGTACAATTGCTGGATCATACGGTAATTCTATTTTTAACTTTTTGAGGAACTTCCATACTGTTTATCAGAATGACTGTACCAGTTTGTATTCCCACCAACAGTATAAGAGAGTTAGTTCCCCTTTCTCCACATCCTTGCCAATACTTTTTGTTTCTTGTGTTTTGATTTTAGCCATTCTGGTAGGTGTGAGGTGATATCTCATTGTAGTTTTGAATTGCGTTTCCCCAACGATCAGTGATGTTGAGCATCTTTTCTTTTCTTTTTTTTTTTTTAAAGATTTTATTTGTTTATTTGAGAGAGAGAGAATGAGAGAGAGCACATGAGAGTGGGGAGGGTCAGAGGGAGAAGCAGACTCCCTGCCGAGCAGGGAGCCCGATGCGGGACTCGATCCCGGGACTCCAGGATCATGACCTGAGCCGAAGGCAGTCGCTTAACCAACTGAGCCACCCAGGCGCCCCGAGCATCTTTTCATGTGTCTGTTGGCCATCTGTATGTTTTTGGAAAAATGTCTCTTCATATCCTCTGCCCATTTTTTTTTAAAGATTTTATTTTATTTATTTATTTGAGAGAGAGAGAGAGAGCGAGAGAGCACAAGAGGGGGTAGGGTCAGAGGGAGAAGCAGACTCCCTGCCGAGCAGGGAGCCCGATGCGGGACTTGATCCAGGGACTCCAGGATCATGACCTGAGCCGAAGGCAGTCGCTTAACCAACTGAGCCACCTAGGCACCCGCCTATGCCCATTTTTAATTGGATTATTTGTTTTTTGGGTGGTGGGTTTTATAAGATCTTTATATATTTTGGATACTAACCCTTTATCAGCTATGTCATTAGCAAATATCTTCTCCCATTCTGTAGGTTACCTTTTTGTTTTTTTGATTGTTTCCTTCAGCGTGCAGAAGCTTTTTATTTTGATGTAGTCCCAATAGTTTATTTTTGCTTTTATTTCCCTTGCCTCAGGAGATGTATCTAGAAAGAAGATGCTACTGCTGATGTCAAAGAAGTTACTGCCTGTGTTCTCTTCTAGGATTTCTGTAGTTTCAGGTCTCACATTTAGGTCTTTAACCCATTTTGAATTTATTTTTGTATGTGGTATGAAAAGTGGTCCAGTTTCATTCTTCTCATATGGCTGTCCAGTTTTCCCAACACCATTCGTTGAAGAGACTGTCTTTTTCCCATTGGATATTTTTTCCTGCATTGTCAAAGATTAATTGACCATTTAACTGTGGGTTCATTTCTGGGTTTTCTATTCTGTTCTATTGATCTATGTGTCTATTTTTGTGCCAGTACCAGACTGTTTTGATTACTACAGGTTTGTAATATAATTAGAAGTCCCGAATTGTGATGCCTCTAGCTTTGTTTTTCTTTTTCAAGGGGTCTTTTATGGTTCCATAAAAATTTTAGGATTATTTGTTCTAGCTCTGTGAAAAAAGCTGTTGGTATTTTGATAGGGATTGCATTAAATTTGTAGATTGCCTTGGGTAGTACAGACATTTTTAAAATAGTTATTCTTTCAATCCATGAGCATGGAATGTCTTTCCATTTCTTTGTGTCATCTTCAATCTCTCTCATTAGTGTTTTATAGTTTTCAGAGTACAAGTCTTTCACCTCTTTAATTAGGTTTATTCCTAGGTATTTTATTGGTTTTGGTGCAATTGTAAATGGGATTGATTCCTTAATTTCGCTTTCTTTTTTTTTTTTTTTAAAGATTTTATTTATTTATTTGACAGAGAGAGAGACAGCAAGAGAGGGAACACAAGCAGGGGGAGAGGGAGAGGGAGAAGCAGGCTCTCCGCTAAGCAGGGAGCCCGATGCGG